GAGTCTGGTACTCTCCCTGGTACTGCGCCTCCTCAGGCCTTGCACACCTTCACGTTGGACTCAGGCGCCTCGCACTGTTTCTTTTGTGACAGCACCACTCTCACTCCTCTCCCTGCACCTGTCCCGGTCAGACTGGCTGACCCCTCTGGGGGCCCGGTCGTTGCCCGTTCCTCCACTGTCCTCCCGTGTCCGGCGGTTCCGTCCGGCTCATTGTCAGGTCTTCACCTCCCCTCGTTCTCCACGAACTTGGTGAGTACAACTGCCCTCCAGGATGCGATGGTCACTACCACCACTCCTGGGGGTCAGCGTGTGTCGATCTGCACGTGCACACGGACGGGGCGTCACCTAGCTACGTTCACTCGTCGGCCAGGGTCGAGTATGTACACACTGGCTACCGAGCCTCCTCAGGTAGCTGCGTCTGCTCAGGTGTCCGCGTCAGGTCAGGTAGCCACCTCTTGCTTGTGTCGCCTCCCGTCGCACCAGACTCTTCTGTGGCACCACCGCCTGGGTCACCCCTCCCTGCCACACCTTCGTGGCATGCAGACTCTCCACATGGACATGTGGGGCCCAGCCCGCGTCAGTGGATAGGACCGCGAGCGCTACTTTCTGCTGGTAGTTGACGACTACACGCGGTACACCACAGTCTTCCCCTTGCGCAGCAAGGGTGAAGTCGTTGATGTCTTGATCCCTTGGATCCGCACAGTCCGTCTCCAACTCAGCGAGCGGTTCGGCTAGGACCTTCCTGTCCTGCGTCTGCACTCTGACAGAGGTGGTGAGTTCTCATGAGCGCCGCATTGGCTTAGTCATGGAGGTCGCTCGTACCATTTTCTGCTCCCCATGTTCTGTGGCCGTTTGCGGTCCGGTACGCTGCGCATCAGCTCAACCTCTGGCCCCGTGTCTCCTTACCAGAGACCTCGCCCACACTGCGTTTGACGGGGAAGGTTGGCGATGCGTCGGTGTTCCGGGTCTGGGGTTCTCGTGCCTTTGTTCGCGATACGTCCGCGGACAAGCTCTCCGCCCGTGCTATCCCCTGCGTCTTCCTTGGCTTTGTCCCTGACGCACCTGGCTGGCAGTTTTACCACCCCACCTCGTGCCGTATCCTCCCGTCTCAGGACGTCACGTTCGATGAGTCGGTTCCCTTCTACCATCTCTTCCCCTACCGCTCTGCCCCTCCCC